CAGAAAAGGAAAGCCGTGGTTTTGGACAATAAAACCAGAGTTCGCAGAAGGGGAAACTGAATGATTTACTTGTATTTTTATTTTCCCTCACATCTATCCAATTATACATCCCTTTCTACACTTAATGAGATCCTACGTTTTCCTACCTAATCAGTAACTGAGTTGTTGTTCAGCAGATAATGCACCACAAACTCAAACCCCACCAACCCAACTGAGATGGGGAAATAATCAGTGTGAAGACACTAAAAGCAAAACCTGCCAAGGGCTGCAGAGAAGATGGATCAAGGCTGAGCTGTATACATCTGTCAACATGCACAACTGCATTTTTCTTTGAGGATTGCTATGACCTCATTAGAGACTGACGCTATACAGTAAAGGAAAAATCTCCAACTTCCCACTTTCTATAATAAAATATTTTTATTCATACAACTCAAGAAAAAACTGATTAGCATTTTGACTTTGGAATGGCTTGAGGCCCTAGGTCAAAAGAACAGTCTCCATTAATATTAGCTACTTTATAGATCTCATTACTAATCTTTAATCCTTGCTTAAAATTATGATATGCCTTATTATATGAAATCATGATTTATAAATGATAGTAGTGTAAAAGTGTCACTAATTCATAATTTTAGAGAGTACAGCTCTTTGAAATTTTCTCTGATATGTTTTATGAAAGGGGAAAAACTCAAGCCCTTTAATAACCTGCCCTGGAAAACCATCTTTCTAGAAGAGCACTGAAAAGACTTCAGGATAGCCAATAACAGCCTGACATCCTCTTTTATTTCAAAAGGAATCATTTGCTATTAACAATGGTAAGCAGGGTTTCGGGACATTTTATGGGAGCATCATTCCTTTAACTTGTCAGTTGGCTTTATGTTATAAGGAGGAGGGTGATGGGGTGAAACAAGCTTGCAGGCATATATAACATTACGGAAGGTGAAGAATCTATGACGCATCATCAGACAAGCCATTTCATTTTGTCACTAAGTCACAGCAAAGTCATTCCTATCTGAGGAATTACTGTGAAGTTATCATTTGCCATCTCGGGTTTTATAAAACTATTTATATAAAAATGTTAGCATCAGTTTCTATAATTGCACTGTACAAGGGCAATCTGGATGCAAATAAAGTATTTTGCTCCATTTTTAAGTATATGTACATACATTTTAATTTTGTCCTCAAAATTAGGAACATTATGATCAAAACTTTCATTACTTGACATTACTGTTGGTTGGTGAAAATTTTTACAGCTAGACTGGGCATATTCATCCCAACCCCT